CGAATATCAGAAAATAAGTCTGCAGATCCTGCCGTGTTCAGCTCAGCTCGGCTGTGGCTCACTTGTTTCTCAAACAGGAGCGCCAGAGCTTTTTTCTTGCAGAGATTAACTCACAAAGCATTAATTTATACTAGAAACAACTAACCTGGCAAGCCAGACTAAATAAAAATATTATTTAGTCTGGCAACCCCCCATTGACAGCTCTCGGTCATGGGGCAGGTTCTACCGTTGTCTTTCAATTGATCTCAGCATACTACTGGACAATGAACAACGTGACTTACTCACCACAATTGATGTTGGTAAACGAGGCAGTTCGCAGCTGAAGAAGGTGAAAATGCATTATTTTTTTCTAAAAAAAGAACTTAAAAGCCCAAGTCCAAATATTCCAAAACTGATGTAAAAAGTCATTTCGAACAAGGTGTTGCCATCTTGTTCCACTCTGTTGCATCATCCTGCCCACCAGACAAATCGAGGGTCCCTATTGGCCCACAAAGCAGATAAAGTACTGTGATTTGTCCACAAACAGATAGCGTGCCTTGATTGGCCCACCACTGTAGACCAATCACAGCTCTCTACATGTTTGGATCCCCTATAGAGAGCTGTGAATGGCCAGCCAGAATGCTGCTAGGGGCTGCAGAGGTTCCAATGGAGCGTTCCTAGACCAAACTTTGCAAAGCTTGAATTTGGTATAGTTCACTAGGCTACGAAACAACAGCAATTGTGTTGAAAAAAGAGTGAATTTGGTATTTATTAAATTGACTTTGTTAAACTGCCACACAGAGGTTCCAAGCTGGTGATTGAGGGTCAGAATCTCAACCATGCCCACCAAATCTTGGTTCAGTTCACTCCCAAAAATTATCAAGCTACTCTTCAAAAAGTGAGTTGACTGGTCGTTGTTGAGGATTTCATTTGGATACAACTTAACATTTCACTTCAAAGGTTTTGCATGTGATTTCAAACATGTTTGTTTTACTTGAGGTTTGCAACGGTACACGACATGCCACGCATGTGGAGTGTTGGACCCCAGCCTTGCCCGTCGAAATGCCTGAGGAAAACTTTGTGACAGGAATGATTTCAGTTGAAATGGATGGAAAACGTTACAAGTGGAGGGAACGCTTTGACTTTTACCCTGATGCAGAGGTCATCCACTTTGAGCATGAGGACAAGACTTTACTACTGAAACCAGGAGACAGTGAGGTTTCACTGCATGTATGAGGATTTAAACTACTGCCACAGATTATCCGTTTATGTATTTTTATTCACAATAATGTGCCAGTTTCATATTTTACCCCTTTTTTTCCTGCTGTGACACAGCATAAAAAATTGAATGCAGTGAGCAAGTGCATGAACATTTCCATGAGTATCGGCAATCGTTTATGCAACGTTCAGGTTCTCTCGAATGAACTCACCTGCAGGATTCCTAAAGGCCTGGTCATCCCCACTGAGGGATTACCTGTCAGAGTAAGTTGATCTCCTTCTAAAATACCATTTTGGAGCAAAAGACAACAAATTACACATGTTGATAAGAGTCATCTTCTTTATCGTACCTGTAGGTGTCTGTGAATAGGGAAGATTATGATGTGGGTACAGTTGCCTATGACAAAACCAACACTTCCATTGTGATTGCCGGGATTGCCCTGGGCATTATTGCAGCTCTGGTAGTAGGCGCCAGCCTTGCATTGATTGTGATGAAGCATTTGAAGGCAAAAAAGCAAGGTGAGAAAGATTTCATCGATTAGCCACAACAATATGACCACTATGAGCTGATTTGTTTCAAAGACAGGAATAGCTTTGATAAGCATTCTGTCCTCGAAATTGATGAATGACATTCCTATTTTGAAATAAATATTAGGAAAACACCCAAATACCATATAATTGTTGGTTATTGAGATAATGACATAATTTGCATATTCAGTCATCACTATGTTACCATACAGTACCAACTGTAGGCATTTAGGTGATTAGGAGAACATCTGATTGTCAAACATATTTTTGCAAGTAGTTAGAATCTGCAGTTTTTTAGAAAATGTTTGGTATACTGTGCAACACTAGCCTTTCAGGTCTCAGTGTTTTATTAATCAGTTGTCTATGTGATTCAGTGGACCAAGAAGTGTGATATTTGGGCAGTCCACCTTGCTTCTTGCATGACTTAAAAATGTTTGCTACCAATTCTTGTGGCTTGAAATCCCAGTACAAGTGGTCATAATGTTATGGCTTACTCATCTGTGTTCTAACAAAATTTATGCTAATATTCCTTAACCCTCCCACTGTCCTAATGGGTGTGGCCCCGCATGGAAAGTTGACCATTGAGCAGGATTGATGGTTTATCCCTTGGGTCCATGTGGCAGGGGTAAGGAGTGAGCACCACCTCACCCCTGCCATGTGGACCTCAAGAGATAAACCATCAATCCTGCTCAATGGTCAACTTTCCTCACGGAGTCACCCATAAAGACAGTGGGAGGGTTAAAGCTGCAATATCAAATACAGTATACAGAAAAAGCTAGCTTTCAAATGCAAACATGCTCATGGAACTCTCACCCCTCCCATCGGCTATCATCCTTGGGCCACGTCCAGCAGAACTGGAACCTGCATTGCCAGAGGAAACGAGACAATGCTAAACACCAGTCATCGTTTTCTAAACGTCCAAATGTCTTTTGTTGTCCATGACTTCAAACAGTGTTTTTCTTTTTGGCACTCTGGTAGTTTGTCCTAAAGTTGAAGCCGGCTGTTTCTCCTTCTCTGATGTTGTTGAGCCGCAAACCTCTCACACCAGTGGTGTTCTGTTGCTAAAGGAGGGAGGTGTGGTGGTTCGGTCCGAGCCGTGGTATTTGCTGAGGTTTTAGTCAAATGTGACACACTTGTTTAAATCTCTGCTATATATTCATAGCTGTTCTGTAGCTTGTTCTGTAAATTTGCTATTGCACATTTAATTATATTTAATCACTTTATTAGGATTTTTGCCTCTTTATACTTTTGATGACTGTCAACAATTAAACATTTCCTTTCAGCAAACATAGAGAACCGTTTATCCACAGTGTTGTCCCGGGCCCGTGTTGGCAGCCATCTTAACTCGTCTCCCACAGATGACTACAGACGAGGTGAAGCACTCACATCCAAAAAATCTTAAAGAGTGTTAAAACAAATGTGTTTGTGTTCTTTATAACAATTATTTTTCATTTCTTTCATGACTATTTTAGGTTTCCATTCCGGCCAAACGTCAGGTTCAGGAGCAACCACCTTCCAGGGTCTGTTGTACTCTGCCAGCTACGATCACCTGGCTGCTCCTTTGATGCCGGGTGAAACTGTCTCCATGGTTAGCTTAAATACTGACTTGCTTGAAGAGGTTAACGAGGTGCTAATTCCTGCTGAGATGCTCAGAATTGAGGAGAACCAGATTATTGGAAAAGGTGAGTCTCTTTGCTTGCCTTTTTTCACAATTTTCAGCTATAATGTTAAATTTTCCCATTTACTATTTTATTAATCTAATTTTTCTTTTCATGCAGGTCACTTTGGGACAGTTTATCATGGATTCTTAATAGATAGCATGAAGCAGGAGACTCACTGTGCTGTTAAGTCATTAAACAGTAAGTGCGTTTCATTATAAAATATGCTGTGTTTTTCAGATGTGATGGAAAGGTTACACGAAGAAATTTTAAAAGACATTTAAAAAGATTTTTTTTAAGTGCTCGTGGACATTTTCCACTGAGCCTGTTTGTAAAAATGTCAGTGAGGACTGCAGGGGAGACCATCTGTAAATGTAGCAGCCAAACATCCTGAACATCCACTGGCAGTGAGTTAATGTGCAGATGTGTTTGTGCAGTTCAGAGCTGCCACTGTCTATTTTTGTCTGCTGATCTAAAAGAAACTTTTAAAAATGTGTGTGGTCTTTTGATAAATTCTCACCATCAGTTTGCATCTTCCACCATTTTTTAGCCATTGTGAAACAAACAGCTACTTTTCACACAGCTTGTTTAGTATCACTTCCTGCCCAAAAGGGGTGATCGTGGTGCATTTATTTGCAGAGTGATATGTTCACGTTTCATGCTCAGAGCTCATCTGCTGCGGTCTCCAAAACTCCAAAATCTGGGTCGCTACTAATGGTAAAGTGTGTTTTTATGAGCAGGGATCACAGATTTGGGTGAAGTGGATCAGTTCCTGAGAGAGGGCATCATCATGAAAGGATTCCACCACCCCAACATACTGTCGCTGCTCGGTATTATGCTACCCAAGGAAGGGCTCCCTCTGGTGGTTCTGCCGTACATGAAGCACGGAGATGTGCGTCATTTCATCCGCTCTGAGAAGAGGGTAAATCAAACTTCTTTCAAAATCTGCTCCTGGAAATAGTCTTCTTTGATTGCCAGTTATTTGTCCTCCGCAGAACCCTACGGTGAAGGACCTGATTGGGTTTGGGCTCCAAGTTGCCAAAGGTATGGAGTACTTAGCCCAGAAGAAGTTTGTTCACAGGGACCTGGCTGCACGGAACTGCATGTGAGTGTGAATCTAACTCTGATTATTGACTGTGAGAATGCCAGTGTATGTCGTCCTGATTACAAGAGGCACCGGAAAGATCAGTGAACATCAGATGGTTGCTTTCGGGCCATATCCAACCTTTTGATGATCAAACCGTTTGGCCTGCAAAGTACTAAATATAAACCTAGAACACTGTATTTAGCTTTTGATCTGAGTTGGTGCTGACAGTAAGTTTTTAAATTTGACATTTCGTGCAAAATGCACCTTTTTCATCCTTTTGGTTGCCATTTGGCCTAAACACTCCAAACTTGGAAAAAAAAGATGTCCATTCGTTTTCTTTCAGTTTTTGATTTTAGTAATTGTGTGCCTACAACAAACGATTCCAAAAAGTCCCCTTTTGTGACATCACAATTAGGAAAATTAGCATAGAACCGACTCATGTGCAAGAGAGGGCTGTTGCTGGAGGAGCAGCGGCTCCTCTCCAAGCCCCTTTTGGGTATTGGAGCAGCCAATCAGGGAATGGGTGGGCTGTCTGCTTGTTTTCTTAAAGTGGCAGAGCCCTGAAACAGCTCATTCTGGAAGGTAATGAAACTCTCAAAAATAAAACTGCTGAAATTGCATTGTGTGAGAGGGATTTAGTGGAAAGAACTTAATAAACATGTTTTCTATCAACCATAGAACTATTATAAATTAGAAAAACTGTCTTCTTTACAGAGGATCATGATTTGTGTATGGATACGTCGGTATGTGCAAAAGTGAAAAAGTATAGATATGAAAATTTTGGCTAAGACAAATAACATTAAATTATGTTTTTTTTCCTTTTGTGTCATTGTTCTTTTGTAACCACATGTAATTCTCTATGTTGTTCCTCTGCTGCCTTCATACACCAGAACACTCGTGCAAATGAGATTTGACTTCTCAATGTGTTTCAACCAGCTTAAATTAAGGAATGATAATGACTTCCTTTAAAACTATGTCCATAAACACCTTTCATAAAGTAAAGTTTATCTCTCACCAAATAGAATATTTACTAAGAAATCACAACGTAACCATAGAAACATTACTTGGTATATGTGTGTGTGTGTGTGTGTGTGTGTGTGTGTGTGTGTGTGTGTGTGTGTGTTCGTGCGTGCGTGTGTGTGTGTGCGTGTGTCTGCTCTGTCTTCTCATTTAAGGGTATGAAGCTATGTTGGTTTCCTCTCTACAGGCTAGATGAAACCTTCACGGTGAAGGTGGCTGACTTTGGAATGGCCAGAGACATCTATGACAAGGAGTACTATAGCATTCAAAATCACAAGAGAGTAAAGCTGCCAGTGAAGTGGATGGCCATTGAAAGCCTGCAAACACAAAAGTTCACAACCAAGTCAGATGTGGTGAGTGTGTTTAACACTCACAGATGTCTTCATATTTATTGTATCTGTATTTATAATTAATCACGAGTGTTTTTTAGTGGTCGTACGGCATTTTGCTGTGGGAGCTGCTAACCAGAGGAGCTAGCCCGTATCCAGATGTTGACCCCTATGACATCACATACTACTTATTACAGGGGCGCAGGCTTCCACAGCCGCAGTACTGCCCCGATACTCTGTAAGCATCTCGGATTCTGTTTATCACCTCATACTTTAGCTTTACTTTCATGCTGTTGGAGTAACAGAGTTTAATCCACAGCTATTCAGTCATGCTGACGTGTTGGAACCCGGACCCAGAGTGCAGGCCCAGCTTCCGCAGCCTGGTCGCAGATGTAGACAACGTCCTGTCCTGTCTGAAAGGAGAGCACTACATCAATCTGAAGGTTACCTACATCAACTTGGATCAGCCAAGGCCGTACCCATCCATGAACGGCTCTGCAGACGAGGCTTCAGACATGGATTCAGGCACTCCTACAGCCAGCTAAGGATTCAACAACAACAGAACGCATAGCTTTAACTATCCGATGGGCTGCTGCTGTCTTCATATGGGAACAGATGGAACATTTGACTACTGAGTAAAGCAACACTGTTGACTCTATGAGCTCTAACTGGAGATAAAATGATGCCGGTCGCTCCTCGTGCTGGTCCTTTTGTTTTATTTGTAGCAAAACAACATTTTCAAATCAGACAAAATCAATGGAAGTGGATTTTGTTCCCAGCATTGCTGAATTGTTGTATTTTGTGACACACAGACTTTTCTGTTAGGACAGCGGCCTTCAGTTACTTTTGCATCACTGACTAGTTTTGATCAAAAATGTTTCTATAGACCAATGGGGTGGGGGGGATCACAAACGTAAATCATAATAAATTGACATTTAAAAATACTTATACATATAGTACATTTTCGCTATTTATTTTACTAATAATTATGGTCATTTTTTCTAAATGAAATGCACTGCAGACCATTGTATTTTTTAAAAAAGTATCACAAATTCTGTGAAAGATGTTTGTACTGTTTCTTTGCTGACTGGTACCAAATAATTCTGTTGGTCGAGGACCCGTGTGTTGGCAGGTTTACCCGTTAAACTGGTGCTCAGAGGTGAACTGTGTCTTTTTCCCTGCATATTGTAATTACACATGCATTTATCTGTAATTGTGATCAGAATATTAGATTCAGTATGCAGAACAGAGACATGGACTTAAACTGCATGTTCAGACACACTGACCACTAGAGGACGACCAAGGACTCAGTTTAAGGACTGATGCAGTGAAGCTGTGCAGGAGGCCGAAAAACATCTCTATTTAAAGGTGTTGCTGAAAAGGTGAAAACGCTCCAAACCATCTGTGCTCCTCTGAGTAAAGGTAACAAATCCAACATTTTAACTGAGTAAAAACAACAGGACAACACAAGAAGCCTTTGGGAAAACGAGCACTGACTGTTCAGCTTCTTTTCTGTCATAGTTTAGCCAGAACAAATTTTCCTACTGGATGGCTGTCTTATGTTGATGATTGTCACTGCCACATGTTATGTTTTTATCCTTTTTTATGATTTTTTTTGTTTGTTACCATTTTTACCAGATTGCATTGATTCTTTTTTGAGTAAATACTTGATTGAAATAATTTTCCTTTGTGTAAAAATTATTTTCTTAGTTTTAATAAATATTAAAAAAGGAAAACCTTGGTGCTTTGCAAAAAATTTAAATGATCCAAACTAATGCTTCCCTTTGAAATCATAAGAGTAAACACATTACAAAAGTTTTTCATGAAAGAGGAACATCAAAGCTAAAGGGGAAATTGGTTCGGAGTGTAATGACACCAGTCTGAACAGCTTTTGTTATCTGTGATGTAGATGAGAGGAAACACACACACACACACTGAATACATCAACCTATCACAGTAAAGTCTGCATCTACCTAAACTGTGTATATCTAACATTACATATTCTATGAATAATTTATGGATCTAAAAAAGAAAGCTCTGCATCCTCTTGCGTAAAATTTTCTGAAATCATTGCAGTAATAATGAGAAGGCCTGTCTGCTTTCATGCTCTAGTTTAGAAAATTTGACAAAAATCAAAACAAAGCACTAACAGACTATATAAATTTCACTTTAGGTGAAAACACTTGCATTTTATTTGCTTTGGGAAGAATATTTATTTTTTTAAATTGTGTTTTATTTAGTATAAATAGTTAAAATCACAACACATTCATCTTGTTCAGCCACAGCAGACTGTATTAATTTGAAAATTACCTCATTTTTGATCAGCTTATCAATTGTTTATGTTGTTTATAAGTTGTTACCTAGTAACCAAGTACATGTTTAACTGTTTTTAATAATGACACTAAAGCAAAAACTGAAGAAAAATAGGCCTACTTTAAAGTGACAATGTGTGTTTTTTACCTTTAATCTCTAAAAATATTGAAACGTTGAAAACAAATGAAATGATACCCAGTTGTTGAAAAATATTGACTCCTTCATAACATATAACCATAAAAATCAGGTCTAAAGAATATTGGGCCATGATTTTTGAAAATTTGAAATTGGGTGAAAAAGATTGGATTTTATCTTTTAAAACAACAAATTTGACTTTATAATTCATCCTGACATAAAGGTTTTCTAACTGAACAACAATGACTTAGTTTTAATCACATCAAGGTCAGAATGCCTTCGTTTCTTGGAAGAAAACATCATTATCTCATACAATTTACGACAGGCAATGATTCAGACACCACTGCATGCAGCTGTTAGCTGGTAGGCTAACACAGAGCTAACATGTTTCCACAGGAGAGCTAATGTCTGTATTTTAGTGGTATTCTAAACCGGACACCAAAGGCAGTGCAACAGCCACTTGTAATGTGTGCATATTGGGTATTCAACATGCTGGAAAAGACAGCTGCATGATGAGTAGCCTTGAAAACATACTTTCTCCTTTGGCTTTTTCACTTCAGGCATTGTGGCATCACAGCGAATCATCGGTCCCAGTTCACAGCAGCATCTCTGACAAAAACATGGAGCCAAACAACAGTGAATGATACATTAATAAATACAGAGAAATTGCAGGCAAAAAGCAAAATGTCGTAGTTTCTTGTTCCGAAGCACCTGAGCTACAGGTGTGCGCATGGACGTAATTTTTGGGCGGAACAGGGGGGACATGTCCCCCCCCCCACTTTTTCCAAAGTCAAGTTTTGACCCCTGCAATTTTTACCATTACTTTATATTAAATTGGCACTAGTTGAGCTCTAGGACCAAGCAGAAAAAAACTATTTGTGTTGAAGCCTGTTTCCCATTAGAACATACTGTAAAGACCCCCCCCCCCCCCCCCCCCCCCCACACACACACACACACACACACACACTTCTAAAGTGAAAATTACGTCCATGTGCAGATTAAAGTTAGCCTGCAGGTCCTGGCGCCGCATGCCTCCCTATGTCACGGGAAGGCACATCACTCATTAGAGCTGCATAATCAGGACATAAACAATTAGAAATATGAGCAACTCTGCTACTTTAAAATATATTCAAAATGTTATCACATAATCAATGTACTTCATAAAAAATGGAATTTTTTGGTAGACAAACGAATGAAATGAAAAAAATACAGAAATAAAGAAATACTTAAAGAGCAAGTCACCCCCAAATCACATTTTTTTGCTGATAAACTATATAAAGGAGTGTCTAATCATGCTACAGACACGTGTAGTCAATAATTTGGCAGTTCAGTGCATCTTGGTTAAAATTCAAATATTCTGCCTAAAACTGTCAGTGTTGCGCCGTCGTTAGGGAAAAATTCTGCACTGTATTTGAATTTAAATCTGCCACCACTATTGGCTAAGAGGTATGCTATGATGTCATCTGGTACATTATGATGTCATAATGCCATTGTGAGCCTGTATGTGTGTGTATTTGTTAGCGGCTCCGCCCTCTCGGTCTGCCAAGCAACAGCATTTGTTGCATTTTTCAAACATGAAGTGGGAGTGAAGTAAGTTTCTTGTAGGGGCTGACTTGCTCTTTAAATAATAATTTTTTTTAAAAATTCTGGAAACCTTGGTTGTATTTCCCCTTTTTTCTTCTTATTTCAATGCTTTGCTGAAGTATCGGATTGGGACTCTGTATTGGCATCTTTACTGAGCAGATACATAAAAATCCAACTGCTTACTTTTCATTCTAAACTATGAGGTATCATCTCACACTTCCCTGCACAGAAACCCTGCTGAAAACCAGCGGATCTCTCTCTCTCTCTCTCTCTCTCTCTCTCTCTCTCTCTCTCTCTCTCTCTCTCTCTCTCTCTCTCTCTCTCTCTCTCTCTCTCTCTGTCTCTCTCTCTGTCTCTGTCTCTGTCTCTGTCTCTGTCTCTGTGTGTGTGTGTGTGTGTTTTCTAGAATGATATTATATATATGTATATATTATTTTTTATTTTATTTATTTTTTTTCCCCCCAAAAATATTTTACACTTTTTCTTCTTCACACTGTCCTGGTTTTGGTGCAGAGATGAAATCTGTGAAATATCGTACAACAGCTGTTGTGCGATCCATGAACAAGCCAGAGAAACTGGCTGTAGCTATTTCCTGTCAGGACTCATGCAGATTTGTCCTCCAACGACTAAAGGAGACAAAATGCAGAAAATTTGTTATTTAGACAGTATATCCAGAATCATAAGATCATTTTTAAAATTGACTGGTTTCTATCAAGTGTGACAAAATCAAATTGGATCGGCATTAGAATATATATATATATATATATATATATATATATATATATATATATATATATATATATATAAGAGCTTCAGGAGTGAGAAACTAAATACTTGAATCACTGTTCACCTACTCCATGCAGTTTTGGAGTTGCAGGTGTTGTGAATGCAGTCTCACATTTTGAAGCTTTTCATCAGTGCTCAAGGTCTCCGACTCCAGATCCCACTTAGAATAGATCTATAAAGACAAAGAAAGGTGATAAAACAAATCTATTGAGAATGAACATATTGTGTTTAACTTCTTGTTTCATAAAAATTTACGAAAAACTCTCTCTTTTTGATTCTTATATACTGAAGATTTCAAACTCAAGATGCACATCCTTACAGTATATATCATCATGTCATTTCTGAATCACGAAAATTATTATTTTTTGATCATCATTTTATTTTGAGTGAAATTCTGCTAAACCTCTTTTGAATTTTGCAGCCTGACTCTTGCTGAATCTGCTATCCTTGAGCTTGTGTACAGTCAGTATCTGCCTGAATAGCGAGGCAATCTTCCTCCCTCTGCCTCACTCTTCTCCATTGTCGCGCTGCATTCAGAAAGAGGATAAGGACTTGGGAGGTCGCAGATGGAGAGAAGTGTTATGTTTGTTCCTGTCTCCGCTCTCTGAGTGAATGTCTCCACAGATGGGAGTAGATTGAAAGGCAAACAGAGATTTGCAGTGCAGTGAAAGGCCTTTAGAAACACAAGGTCGCACACATAGGTAACTGCAACTCATTTTCTTTTTGCATTTGGAGTTTTTCATCTTCCATCATCGTACACAGGTATGTTATGAGGCTCACAAAGTGAAAAGTGTGCGTGACAGCATCGGTACCATGCCACATAAATATAATTAAATATAATGCAAAAATAATCAATCCTGTTCAACCTCCCTTCGCTTTAAAGAAGTGCTAGAATGCAAAGCAACATTTTCCATGTTGAATAAAGACATCTTGAGTGGTCAAATGCAGCATACCAAAATTTCTAACCTGTGTGTGACCTGCTTTTTTATGTAAATTAGAAATGTAAAAAAGGTGAGAGAAAAACTTCTGATCTGAACAAAGCTGTGATAAAACGTCACATGATAGCTCCTGCTACATCTACATGTTCCAGCAGACATATATGTATACATAGACGCCTTTGCACTGACGTCACCTAATCACGTGAGTCCACCATGGTGGATGGCAAAAGCATGTAAACAGTGAGCGACACGATTACAAAGGGAAAAGTAGAGCCTGAAATTGTTTTTGCAATCAAAACAAATCTCCTCCAACATTCCTTCAACTAGTTCATGCCCAGTTCAGTTATCAGAAGAAGTAGCGCATCTAGCGGGGTCTCATGGAGAGCGGTATGTTAACTAGCTTACCAGCGCTAGCTTACGTTCTCTCTGCAGCTGTTCACCGATGTAAACATGTTGCTGACTTTGCCTAAATTCACCCGTCTGGATTTATAACATTATGTTATAAACAGCGTTTCACTTTACACCAAAGCTGATTTTTAAAAAGTCTGGATGTCTACCAGCTTCTGTTGCTGTTGGTGTTATCGGGTTCAGCTGCTGCTCTCATGCTGGAATGAGAAGATCTCTGAACGGCAACGCTCATATAAATAAATAACGTAATTTTAACACACGTAATCATACGTCGGAGCTTTAATATTGTTAATAATTATCTCACTTTATACTACAGTGGACGGAGCGCAGCCTCCGTGGTGAAATACCCATCCATCAGGATTATCAATAACTAGTATAAACACATCACATTTATCCCTGTCCCTGTCTTCCTGGTGAAATAAATGAACGTTAATCTTACCCGGTAAAAACATGCTCGCTGCAAATCTGAGGGCTGCGTGTCAGCTTGATTGATCGCTGCAGTTCACCTCCGCCCTCA